ATATACACACGATGTAATATCATTCTTTTTTCAAACAGACTAGCGGAATATGTTTTATATATGAGCTATGATCACCTCTCTCTCTCTCTCTCTCTCTCTCTCTCTCTCTCTCTCTCTCTCTCTCTCTCTCTCTCTCTCTCTCTCTCTCTCTCTCTCTCTCTCTCTCTCTCTCTCTCTCTCTCTCTCTCTCTCTCTCTCTCTCTCTCTCTCTCTTTCTCAGCGGTTTTTTTTTAAATAACTAATAATAGAGTTTTTTTGTTTTTAAGGCAGTCCCGCTGGCATAGAATTGCAAAAGTCCGAGTTTGGAAGTACATTGTACATGTTCTAATTTGCTCCTTAAAGTACATACAGTCAAGTACGCGCATAATATAGGTCTATTCATAAGCTGTGATCACTCATAAAGTAACTTATTATTACGGCATATTGGTAATTAATGAGAGGTCAGATTTTTAAAAAAATAATTAATTTATTAAACTACTTTCGATTTCGGTGTTCATTATTGTCGAGTTAACAAAACAGATAACAACAGATAACCATAGATAACAACTGATAACAATACATAAATAACAACTGATATATACAGCAAATAACAACAGACAACAACAAAATAACAACAAATTTTAATATCAATACAAAAGTCCTAATTTAGGGTTTTTTCCGATAATTTAAATTGTTACTTTCGATTTCGGTGCATCTTTGTCGAGATAACAACAAATAACACACAAAAACTTATAACAATTAACTGTATCACAATAAAATAACGACAAATATCAACACAAACGTCCTAATTTGGTTACTTTTACTTGGTTTTTAAAGTAGTCAGTTATTATTTTCCTTGGGTTTTGTTTGGATATGCCTGGTTTTCTCAAGATTTTGGAAGTACAATATACTAGAATCTTTCTTAGTGAAGTAAAAATTAAGTAGAAAATATTTTCTATTGTTCACACTTTGTCCATCAAATGAAATTGTTAATCCCTCCCAGCCTGGCTCGGCCCTGTGACAGAAATATGCAAAGTTTGACCCATGATAAGAGGTATGTGCACAACCTGTATTTATTCATTATATGAAAACTTTACTCATCAAATGAGTGTTTTATGCGATGTGATGTGGGGCCTTAAACACTGAATTAACTTATTTACGTAATTACTTCTTTATACTTACTTACTCACCCACTCACCCACTCACCCACTCACCCACTCACCCACTCACCCACTCACCCACTCACTCACTCACTCACTCACTCACTCACTTACTCACTCACTCACTCACTCACTCACTCACTCACTCACTCACTCACTCACTCACTTACTTACTTACTTACTTAGGTAGTCAGTTTTTTATTTGTTGTTACTCATGGTGGGGTATTTATCTTTGTCGAGATAACAAAAAATAACAACTGATAAGAACAAATAACAACAGACTACCTTAAAAACGAAGTAAAAGTAACTAAATTAGGACGCTTGTGTTGATGTTTGTTATTTTACAAAAATAAATACCTCACCCGTATTTACCTTTTTCGAGATTACAAATAACAACTGATAACAACAAATAGCAACTGACTACCTTAACAATGAAGTAAAAGTAACTAAATTAGGACGTTTGTGTTGATATTTGTCGTTATTTTATTGTTATCAGTCTCTCTCCCTCTCCCCCTCTCTCTCTCTCTCTCTCTCTCTCTCTCTCTCTCTCTCTCTCTCTCTCTCTCTCTCTGTGAGGTCAAAGGAGAGAGAGAGGGGGAACGAGAGAGAGGGGGAACTAGAGAGAGAGAGAGAGAGAGAGAGAGAGAGAGAGAGAGAGAGAGAGAGAGAGAGAGAGAGAGAGAGAGAGAGAGAGAGGAGAGGAGAGAGGAGAGAGAGAGAAAGTGAGTGTGCTCGATAACCAGTGTTTTACGGCGCTCGCAACTGCATAGGTCATATGAGCGCGCGGGACACACCTAATATTTTCAGTTGGTAGGAAATTTGGAATTTTGCCCGGGTGGCGGCCGAAGCCTACTCTTATCGATTTTAGACCACCAAGGGTTCTTTAACGTGCGCAACTTGCACACGGGCCCTCCGAGATTTTTCGCCCTTGTCCGAGAAGGCTAGGTGTAGATCTTTCCTACCAGAAGATCAGGGGTATGGCGAAAGACAGCAGTAAGGAGGAGCCAAGGAGTAGCAGTAGAAAGGCTGCAGAAAGAGTCAGGAGCCCAGAGGAGGGGGCAAAGGAGGTGAGGGGGTGGGGGCAGTAAGTGGAAATGAAAGCAGACAACAAAACATTGTTAGAGAGCAGGACAGGAGGTGAAAGGAGACAATTTTAGAGAAGAAAATTTTTCGGTCGCTACCCGGATTCGAACCCGGGACCTTTGAATGAGAGGCCAACACCTTAACCTCTAGGCCACGAGAGTTGGCAAGACGTCTGAATATGCGCGCATGCTGGGTGTTTTTTTTTGCGTGCACGATCCTTACTGAAATACGGAAGGAAGTGTCATCATCGAAAAGAGGGACTAAAAAAATGATTAAAATTCTTCAAACCCAAGTTTACACCAAGTCAAAAGAATATTATTTTTGTCCCTTCCGAGGGTTTCACCTCTCTAAGACGGAACATGCTTTGCCCGCTCAGCCCTGATTTGAAACAATACTCGCAAGTTTGATTCCGCCGTCTCTAAACTTAACGCCATGGCCATGCCGCTGAGCGAGAAAGGGGAGTAGGGGTGCAATGGGGGTAGAAGTTACCCTATGTTACCCCATCATGTGAGCACTGAGCGCTGCAGATGGTCAGTGTAGTGTGGGTGTGATATCTCATGACTGCCCGTGAGAGTGCTCGAGTAGCCAGCCACTATGGAAACTTTCCTGGGTAGCTAGAAGCCAGAGGTGTGAAATTAGATTGACCAATGCCTGCTGCTCTGATCGTAGGCCTACGGCCAGCCGAGAAAAGAGTTCTTCCTCGAATCGTTGTTACATGATGGCAGTGAGGGGTGGCATTGGTGGGTGGGACTAAGGGGGGAAGCAAAGAAGGTGTTCAAACGTTTCTGTTTTCAATAGGTCAAAAAGTGGTCCTATGAAAGGCAAGCACTGGTGGTAATTGGATAAGTAAGACTGACGCATGTCACTATCAGACAGGATAGCGACTGAAAGGTGTGAAGTTTTGACCACTGCTTGCCGATCGAACAAGCGATCCTTGATCCCACCGGCTGGGCCTTTGACC